GGGAGGAGTTGGCTGGTTGGTTGCTTTTTAAACCCCTGTAAGGATCAATTCTTGGTTACTGTTTTACTTTGTGAGCATTACATAATGTAGCTTAAGTATTTTAACAACCAGAGTTTCAAGTCTAAATTAAATAAATAGTATAGTTATTTCAAACTATAGACATAAAGTGGTTCACTGTCTTAAGCTGCTGTTAAGACACGTTCATGTATCTTTTCTTGCACAAGTAAATACCTTGACTTTTCAGCTTGATGTGTCACCTCAGGCCTATGACCAGCACTAGACACTACGGTTTTTATCAATGAAGACACTCTGCTTTATCTCATGGAACTGTAATGAATCCCTGCAGTCACATCAGAAGCTGTGTGTGTGTGTGTGTGGGTGTGTGTGTGTGTGTGTGGGTGTGTGTGTGTGTGTGTGGGTGTGTGTGTGTGTGTGTGGGTGTGTGTGTGTGTGTGTGGGTGTGTGTGTGTGTGTGTGGGTGTGTGTGTGTGTGTGTGGGTGTGTGTGTGTGTGTGTGGGTGTGTGTGTGTGTGTGTGGGTGTGTGTGTGTGTGTGTGGGTGTGTGTGTGTGTGTGTGGGTGTGTGTGTGTGTGTGTGGGTGTGTGTGTGTGTGTGTGGGTGTGTGTGTGTGTGTGTGGGTGTGTGTGTGTGTGTGTGGCATCTATGTGCAACAGATTATCAGCTTTTTACTCAGTAGCATGGACTTTTTGTGCAAGAACATGTTCCTCTGTTGCCTAGCACTGCACAGCTCAAACTGTATTGGTGGAGTGCTGTTCTCAGCGGCCTATGCTCCAGGCTTGAGCTCCTCTTTGAAAACAGGTGAGATGATGAGCGAGCCTGACAGTTTATTTATCCAGAGTAAAAACACATACTCTCAGAAGCACCTTTCTGAGCCAGTAGATGCCAGTGTGTAAATTTAAGTTCCTTTTCTCCCCATGTCCTCTGAGTGAGCATAGGGTGGCTGATCCCACTTATTTTTAAACATTCATCTTTCCAAGCTGACAATAGCATGGTCCTGCCCCACCTTCCAAACACAGGCACCTTACTGAGAGTTGCTGCTGCAAACCAGCTCTTGGACAGCCCAGTTCTCCAAAGTATGTGGAATCAGGCAAACACCCCGAGGTAAATAAATTACCTTTGCCTTGTGCACTTTACCAGAATTGTTTTCTTGTATTACTTTCACTATGTCCTCTTCATAGTTTAATGGCTGGAATTGGAGCTGGAATTACAGAATGGGAAAAGCTAGCTGGGGCCTTTGATTTTGGTAAAGTGGTTTAATAGTAAGAGTCTTCCAGCAGGAGTCTGGCTGAGAAGAACTAAGCTGAATTCCTGAGTGCAACTTACCCCTCTGCAGTCACACTGCCTCTGCTCTGCAAGCAAAAAGGGTCAGTCTGTTTTAGTTTTGTTCTGCTCTCATCATCTCAGGATCCTAACTTAAGCCATGATCCTTTGCAGCCAAGATACCTCTGATCTGCTGGCAAACTGCTGCACTGAAGTAGGGTTGCTGGCGAGTGTTTGCTCAGCCGACGCTCGTGGCACTGGGCAGATGGGCAGTCTACAGATTTGCCTGTGGTTTA